AATCACAAAGCAATTAAAAAAACATGATGCAAAAAAGAAACGTTTTACCTGGTACGGAGGCGTGCGTGGCGTCTTGTGTGTTTTCATCGTCGTTGCCACGTGCCTGCTGGGATTGGTCCATAGGTGGGTCGTCTGGGAAAATAAAAACAAAAACAAAAAAATGATGTCGGACGGAGTCGGCCGAAAATTTTGTATGTCCCAATTTACTCAGTTTTGCCTAATTGTTCGACCCTTTTGTCGTAATGAAGTATACCAACACAGAGGACTTTTCATGCTAAAATGCTTTTAGTGCATTACGAAACTGTGGAAATATCTTGACAAACTTTTTTAGAACATTCTCAACGAAAACCTACCCAAGTACGCGAATAGTACTACGGACCAATCACGGTAACTACTTAAAAGAATGACTTAGCTTTAGTAAGGTTGCAATCACAAAGCAATAAAAACAAGAGTTCTGAGATCTCATACCTCCATGAAATATGGGCTTGCTTTGTCATACTTCATTTCAACATGTCCTCATTAGTTATGCAAGTAACCTCTACATAAACATAATATATGCATAGTGGTGCTAACCTTTAAGTAACTTATACATGTCACGAGGTATAAATTTCCATCATTCACCATTAAGGAGTCAGATTATGTTCACATTAATTATGCAAATTGGGTCACTATTTGCATAATTGGTATTTGTTGATGTTCCACCTGCACAGATTAAATAGATTACATGTATAGCAGTACCATTATATGAAACACTGTAAGTATAGAATTTCCTCATTAATTATGCAAATTAAGTCCTCATTTGCATAATTTGCATTTGATCATGTACAACTGTCTCTCATTTACCTACACACCAAAAATGATGAAAATACGTTGTTCCAATCTGGACTTATTGGCTTTGAAAGTTTTTACCAGAAACTAACCTGCAGTTCCAGAACAAGCTGCTAGGGGGACCAAACCCACACCACTTATTCCTGGCCGGAAAAGCTATCTGTCACCAAAAATTTAAGACCATAGCATGTTCAGGACAAAAGATACAAAAACCGGAAGTTCTGCTGCAGTACCAAGGTCAGCCACCAGGAGGCCTATATTCGACCATGGCCTTTGTCTTCATAAGACTTACTATCGTACCAAATATCATCTCAATCCATAAAGGCATTCTGAAGTTATGCTGACCACAAAGTTGCGGAAACACACACAGACAGACAGACAGACATACAGACAGACGCGCCAAAAACAATACCTCCATTTTTCATGGAGGTAAAAACAGGATACGAAAATGAAAGAAACTTAAAACGTTTTACC